CTGGAACTCACTATGCAGACCAGGCTGGACTTGAACTCACAGAGATCCACCTGCCTCTGCCTCCTGGGTGCTGGGACTAAAGGAGTGCGCCACCACGCCTGGCTTCAGCTGTATGCTTTTTATATCATATCTAATATGAATAATTTCTGCCTAACCATTGGTTCTTTTCTGTTTCTTTGCTACACTGGGCTTAAAGCTGGAGTTTCACACATATAAGGCAAGACACTCTACCACTGAGCTGTATCCCAGCCCTTATCAGTGATTCTTGATACATCTGAAGATGTATCTGTCACAACAGAGAAGTTGCTTGCTGTAGCTGTCTAGTGGAATAGAAGACTAAAAATATAAACGCCCTACAGTGCACAGGACAGCATCACAGCAAAGAGCTGCCTGTCCTATGACTGAATAGCACTGAGAGTTAGAAACCTGGCTGACCTTAGGTCCTGGGGACTTTACCCCTTGTTTTCCTCTGTTAATGTTAGCTCTTTGACTCTGTGTGTCTGTGTGCTCTTGCAGTGTTCTCAGTGCTAGGGATCAAATCCAGGGCCTCCAGCTGCTAGGCAAGTGCTCTACGCATGACAGGCAAGTGCTCTGCCACCGAGCTACAGCTCCACCCGAGGAAAATGTACTTTGAGCTAACTTTTGCGTACAATACCATGATGGGGACAAATGTATTCCTTCATATGAAGAGTCATTTGAAGGAATGAGCAGTGGGTATTCGACCCCTCTGAATTATCCATCCCCTTCACTAAGAGGTCAGCTGGCCATAGTGCTAGAGTCAAGCTTTAGTGGTTGTGTGTTACATTTTTTCCTGTATTTCTCATAACTCACATCATCATGTCTGTAAGCTGTATATAGTTGGGTCACATCCTGTCTGCATGGACCAAATTAGGGCCTAGCTGCTGATTGCCTAATTTGTTGTTACATTCGGTCTTATGTCTGCAAGTTTATTATTTTCTTTCTTCTAATTTTCTGTTTTGTTTTGTTTTCCTTTTATGCCTCTTTTTGGTTTATTTGAACACTTTAAAAAATATTTTATTTTTATTTTGTGTGTATCCATGTATTGCCTGCATGTAGGTAAATGCACCCGTGTCGTGCAAATGCCCGTGGAGGTCAGAAGAGGCTGTCGGATCATCTGGGACTGGAGGTACAGACAGTTGTTAGCTGCCATGTGGGTGCTGGGATTTGAATCCAGGTCCTTCTGCAAGAACAACCAGCATTCTTAATTGCTGAGCCATCTCTCCAGCCCTTATTTGAACATTTTTTAATGTTACATTTTAATTTCTCTATTGTGATTTTTGTGAGTTGTTTGGTTTAGGTTTTTAAGATAGTGTCTCACTGTGTTGCACAGGCATGTGTGTTAACACTTATTTTAAAGGGCAACTTTAGATGCTAGAACCAGGGCTTCCGTGGTACTGCCGCTTTCCTTCTGGTACGGTGTCCTCTCAAGAACACCCTCAGTGATTCTTCTGGAACACTTTTTTTTTTTTTTTTGTAGAGGAGGGCAATGAATCCTGTTAGCCTTTAATCTGAGGATGTATTGTTGAATTTGTCCTAGAGGTCAAACCCAAGGCTTGGCACATGCTACATCTGTATGAAAATATCATTTGACTTTCATTCCTAAGGTGTGTTCCTGCTCCATGAAGAATTCTGGTTTGGCCTTTTCTGTTAGCATTTTTTTTCTTCTTTTTCATGTGTATGTGTATGTTGTGCATGGGTGTATATATGCATTCACATGTGTGTGGGTGCACATGTGTATGTGGGTACATGTATACAGATGTGTGTCTGTAAGCCCGAGGTTGATGTTGGGCTTCTTCTTGGTTACTCTTCCACTTTATTCTTTGAGGCAAGGCCTCTCCATCATACCCACTTGCTGAGACACTGGTCTAACTAGCTAGTTTGCTTCTGGGAATTTCCAGTCTCTGTCTTCTGGGGCTAGAGTTACAGGCTGGCTGCTACACCTATCTAGCATTTACATGGGTTCTGGGGATCTGAACTCCCGTCCTCCTCTTAGTGCTTTAACCACTGAGTCATATGTATCACTTCCTTCTGGCCACTGTGTGTCACTTGAATTGTTGTTCCCCTTTGAGTGAGACTCTGGTTTTCTCTGGCTGCCTTCAGGGTTGGGAATGTTGCTCAGTGAGAGTGTTGAATGTTTGCCTAGTATGTGCCAAAAAAAAAACCTGCCTTAATGTATTTTAAATTTATGTGAATGTGTGTCTCTGCATGTACAAATGCATGTGGTACCTATGGAGGTCAGAAGAGGGCATCAAATCTCCTGCAGCTGGAATTACAGGCAATTATCAACTAACTGACATCAGTGGTAGAACCTGAACTCGAGTCCTGCTCTTAAGTGCTGAGCCATAGTGCTCCAGACCCAAAAGTTGCTTTTTAAAGCTAGGTGTGGTAGTAGCCAGCACTTGGAGGGAGGATCACCATGAGTTTGAGGCCAGCCTGGGCTACAGTGAAGATCCTGTCTTATAAAAACAAAACTAGTTTTGCACAATGTAACGTGATTGTGATAGGTCTTTGAGTGAATTCCATTGGGATTTGTTTTATTTTAGGAATGCCGAGCTGCTTGGCTTTGCAGGTTTGCATCTTTAGGCCATGTTCCTTCAGATGCTTTTCCTGAGCTCTACCTTTGTCCTCTCCTTTGGGATTCTAAGGATGTGAATGTTGACCCTTTGGGGACTGCTCACAGGCCCTGAGCTCTGTTTAGTCTGTCTGCAGCGGTGGCTAACTTCTTTATCTTCCTTGTTTCACACATCGGAAACCCTTTTATTTTTAGATTTTTAATGTAATTTTAGCTCTAAATTCTCCACTTTGTTCTCCTATATACCTCTTATTTCTTTGCTGAAACTTTTATCTTTTTTTTTTTCTTCTTTTTTCAGAACTGGGGATTGAACCCAGGGCCTTTCACACACTAAACAAGTGTTCCGCCACTGAGCTATACCTATCAACTCTTTTTACCTTTGAGAGAAGAATCTCACTAAGTTACTCAGGCTAGCTTTGAATTCATTCTATAGCCCAAGCTGGCCTTGAACTTGCAGAAGCCCTGCCTCAGCCTCCCCAAGTTAGCTGGGATGACAGGCCTTTGCTACCAGGCCTGGCTTGTTTTTTTTTTGACTTTTTGAAACTGTATAGCCCTTGTTGACCTGGAACTCACCTTATAGACCATGCTGACCTCAAACTTAAGAGATTCTGCTGCCTCTGCCTTCTGAGTCCTGCAGTTACGGACAAACATCACCACTCCCAACAAAACTCCATCTTTCTCATCTCAAGAATATTCACACGTATTTCTGTTTCTGTCACAGAAATTTCTATTTCTGAAAAATTTTTGAGTTATCTGACTTTCTATGCTTTCTTATAGTCAAGAGCAGATGCTCAAAATAAAAGCGTTATGCCTGGATTATGCTGCCCTTCAGAATTCAGGTGAATGTCAGGGTACTATGTGCACGACAGAACAGGAGCTTCACCTCATCTTCCTCATTGTGGACTTGCAAAGAGCACTGAACTTGGAGTTCTGAGGCCTGGGTGTAAGTTCTGCTCTGTGAATTACAAGCAGCAGCATCTTCACCTCTGTGGGCACCATCTCCCAGGGTGGAACCGATCACCGGGGCACCTCCTGCTGCAGCGTTATGGAGTTCTGTGGTTTATGGGGTGTGCAGAATGCCGTCCTCAGTTGCCATCACATATTTTCTCTCACACTCATTGGTCTTAGGACGACAGCGGTAGGCTGTTCACTTGTCCCGGTGCTGTGACAAAATACTCTGACTAAAGCAAACTACGGAAGGAAGGGTTTATGTGGGCTCACGGCTCCGGGGTGCATTCATCATGGCAGCAGGAGCCAGAGGCAGCTGGTCACATTGCATCTGCAGTCAGGAAGCAGAGAGAGAGATGGATGCTCCTGCTTGGCTCGCTTCCTTCATATACAGTCTGGGACTGCAGCCCATGGAACGTGTAGCCCATGTTCAGAGTGGGTCTTCCCACGCCAGTTAACTTACTCTAGAAAAGTCCTCACAGATATGCTCAGAGATTGGATTCCAAACCAATTCTAGATCCTGTCTAGATGACAGTGTGTATAAACCCCAAGTACAGACGTTTATAATATTAGAGTGAGTTTAGAACCTTAGAATTCTTGAGGAACAAGAGCAGTATTGGCAAAGGCCCACTTGGTGTGTCATCTTTTAGGGAAAATGGCAAGATTTGACTCAGGGTGAATTCACATTTTTCCATACTAAGAACAGGTGGATATTAACCCTTCTTTGAATTATGAGTGATGATACCAACTTCCTTCCCTCAAACAGGCCAGCAAACCACAGGTCAGAAGGTCTTCCCAGGCTGGGGATGTGGCTCAGTGGTAAAAAGCTGAGAGCAAGCACAAGGCCCTGGCTTCTATCCCCAGGACCACAAAAACAAAAAAAAACAAACAACAACAACAAAAAAAACCCACTATTTTAAGGGGCTGGAGGGATGGCTGAGCAGTTAGAGCACTGGCTGCTCTTTCAGAGGGTCCAGGTTTGGTTCCCAGCACGTGCATGGCAGCCAACAACCATCTATAACTCCAGTTTCAGGGGATCCAACACCCTCTTCTGACCTCCAGGGACATTGCACAACACAGGTGCACTTACATACATGCAAGTAAACACTCATACACATAAAAATAATTTTTTTTAACCATTTTAGTGTAGCACAATGGCTCATGCCTATAATCCTAGCATTTGGGAGGTGGAGGCAGGGAGGAGGATCAGGAGTTTGAGGCCAGCCTGAACTACCTGAACACCTGCATCAGAGAGAGGGAGGGAAGGAGGGAGGGGGAAGAAGAGTGGAGAGGAGGGGAAAAAGCGGGGAGAGGGCGGAGCAGAGAAGAGAGATGCTGCAGTTGGTTCCCGCCCACCAGCTTCTTGGTTCTAGCCTTGGTGGGTTCTTTCCTACAGCAGATGGCCTGCCCGGCCTCGAGACGCTCTAACCCTCCATCACCTTCTCTCCGTTTTCCACAGCTGCTTCAGCTCTCAGCCGCTGCCGTGAAGAAAGGCCGCAGCGTTGGGGAGGTCCTGCAGTCAGTGCTTCGTTACGAGAAGGAGCGACAGCTGGATGAGGCGGTGGGAAACGTCACACGGCTGCAGCTGCTGGACTGGCTGATGGCAAACCTGTGATTGGGGCCCACGCACTGCACCCGGTGTTCCAGCAGTGGGCCCAGCCCTGTCCCTGCCGTCTTCCCTCACCCCCCCTCCCTACCTCCCAGAGCCCTCACATACCTTCACACCACTCACACCAGACACGTCATCTAATGCTACTCACTGGATTTTGCAGATTTTCTTGTCTGTGCGAGCAAGGACGCAAATTAAAAGATTACAATTAAAGGGCTACATGAGTTTGGCTTCCTTGAGGGTGGGGCAAGAGGGCAAGGCTGCAGCAAGATTAGAACTACTCAGAAGAGGGCCGAGGCAGAATGACACTGCACAAGAGGCCGAGAAACAAGCCCCGGGCACTCAGTTCCCTGCGTGTCCCCCACTGTGAGCCGCCATGCACAGATCCCTCCTTCATACTCTTCCCTTAAAATAAGCCCCAATTCCGCACGAATTCATTTCTATCTTTTTTTAAAACACTGTGTAGTAGCCAGTGGAAATCGTGCTCATTATGGTGTAGAGGACCCGGCCTCTTGTCTTTGCTGAGCTTTGCAGGACTGTGGCACACCTCTGACTTTATCCATAGTTCAGTTCAAGGTAGAGCCAAAGCTGGCCCCAAGGGCTGGGAGAGAGTACTTGCCTAGCATGTGTGAGGTGGTAGGTTTCATCGTAGTTCACAGCTGCCTATAACTCCAGCTCCAGGAGATCCTGGAGTCTTCTGATAATCTGACAGAAGGCTCCTCTGATACCTGCAAATATGATGCACGCATGCGCGCGCGCACACCCACCCGTGCACACTCGAGCGTAATAATTGTAGGTTGGAAATCAAGCCACGGCATGAGGTCAAAGTTGAGGTAAGGGAGATCTATTTTACGGCCAGGCTGTCCCCGCACCCAGGGAGTGCATACAGAAAGCAGCCGGGAAGGGAGTTTGCAAGGACCTTTCATACACACTCCCATGGTTTGCAGAAGCAGGAATACAAGGGACCAATTATGGTTCGAACTCAAGTACATATTTGCATAAGTCAAAGTTCACAGTTGTTTTTCATCTTAGACCAATTAAATTGTTTTCCTACCCCCAGAGCAAGCATCTTGGCAGGACATGTGATCAATTTCCAGGAACTCTCAAACGGGGGGTGGGGGGGTGGGTTTCCGGGAAACTGGAACATAACTAGGCCAAGTCATGTAAGGTGACAAGATGGACATCCTCTAGTCAGGGGCCTGCTATAATAATGTTACAGGCCTAGACTGAGACGAGCACAGAACCCCAAAGGCTAAAACAGGAGGCCGTTTATTGTACCAGTACAGTGACCCAGAGAGCTATTTCTCTAAAGCAGGGCCCTAAACTACGAAAAATTAAGCTTTTTCTTCTTTTTCACTTTCTCATGTCTCTTATAGACGGTAGACATTATGATTGGTTTTCCTTAAAACTCTGTAAGGCTACAAAGCGGCTGGAACACTAGGGAAGGAGGGACACCTTGAGGGCCTGAACAGGAGACACGCAGTCATGTGGGTTCACACAGACCTCATTCGTGCTTTTGCTATTACAATCTTGAAATAAGATTTTAAGATAAAATAAAATAAATCCTATTTTTTAAAAAAAAGTCAGGTGTGATAGAGCATACTTGTTTATAATCCCAGCACTAGGGAGGTGGAGACCATCAGATCCCTGGGGCTCAAAGGATAACCAGCCTACTCAGCAATTTCCAGTCCAGTGAGAGTGTTTCTAAAAACCAGATGGATAGCACCTAAGGGATGACACCCCAGGTTGCTGTCTAACCTCCATGTGTACCCCACACACACACCCATAGCAAAACAAATCCTGATTGACATGAACAAGATCTGATTTTATTTTGAATTCCATTAATGATGCCATAACATTAACACTGGCCCTACACACACACACACACACACACACACACACACACCCTTAAAAAGTGAGTTCAGGTACAAGGACATTCCACCTCCTCTTATTGGAGGAATCATGCCATCATGACAACTCTATGAATAGAGTTTTGATTTTTTTTTTTTTTTTTTTTTTTTTTTTTTTTAAAAAAAAAAAAAAAAAAAAAAAAAAAAAGAGGACGATAAATCTTTCACTGTGATATATCAAAATAA